TTCTCAACAGGTTCTTGAACGCTTGTAAAAACTTCGCCATCTCACGCTCTTACCGCGCCTGCGCGGACCCGAATCTTCATACTTTCAAAGCATTCAAATCTGACTTATGGGTGTGGTCGGGTGGGAGTGTATCCATCCGGACGAGACAGCACAACTACAATCGAACTTCACTGCGGGTTCGTTCAATTCGTTAATTATGCCACGTCTCGTCCAGATGGATACATATGTAGTAGTGTTCCACTGCACTATTCTCAACAGGAAATTCCTTACGTGATAGCAATGAATAGATTTGATTTTCGAATTTAGCGCACCAATTTTATGTTAAATCACTTTATTAGGTACAACAATAATCACAAAGTTTCAATTCGCAAACTAGTGTATTTCTTTGGCAATAAAACTTATATATTTACAGTTATCTGACATAAATGCGTAAACGCATATTAAAAGCATAATAAAATTCATTACCACATGATTTTTAATAAAATGTTTTATTTTTGTTTGCAACAATTTATTTACATATGATTTTTTGTATCGATATAATGTATCATGATGACTGTAATATTCTTGAAATATTCTTAATATTTTTATCGGTATTGCTTCTCCACTATTTAAATTTATTCTCAGACATATGTAGAAAGAAAATGTCATTGTATGATCATAACAATATTTTTATTCTACATATGTGCCATATATTGAAATATAAATGGAAACTAATGAAAATCAATTAAGAATAGAAATGTTGTTTCTCAATATATAAATAATATGGAGACTTTTAAATGTATTTGAATTACTTCATTTGCCATATGTTCATTGCAAAATATTCGTTATGCTTTTCCAGGAGAAACCACACAAATGTTCACAATGTTCAAAATCATTTCCGACACCGGGTGACCTGAAGAGTCACATGTATGTGCATAATGGACTATGGCCGTTCAGATGTCATATTTGCAGTCGTGGTTTCAGCAAGCCGACCAACTTGAAGAATCATATGTTACTCCATCTGGGCAGATGCTCCAATAAGAAGTATGTCAAGTCTATCTCTGACTTTTGACTAAATTTCACTTTGTTATAATTTCATTTAAAAAGTTGCAAATCACTAGTGTACGTATAATGTATATGTATGAATAATGTGCCATTCTTGGTCAAACAAATAATTTGACAAAAGAACAATTGTATGTAAATGCAAACTTTTTGTAGAAACTTTTGTAAAACTATATGTAATCACAAATTTATTTCGATTAATTCGAGTTATGTTCAAATCTAAAAAAATACTTGTTCATAATGTAAACTTTTTGTAAAATTTCTTAGTTATCTAATTCATTATGTTACAGTAGTACAATTTTTGCACTCTACAATTAATATGCAATCTTTCAAATGAATATTAACATATTCACAAGAGTATGGTTTTTAATCATTCTATCTGCAATATGTACACAAGTATCCAAATACTCATTTCGAAATTAAACTTATGTTTTTATGCAATTTCGCTTCAAATTTCTTTTTTAGACCAACAAAGAACAGTTTCGCACAAACTTCATCTCATTTTCATTTTAGCAGGAATCTTGTAAAGATGAATATTATTTTACCGTACAATATATCATAGATCCGGATACTATCGACTTTTAACAAATATGAACGAGTAAAGCAATATTTGAAGATATTTTTCATACTTCAAACAAATAAAAATTATTTTGATGAATTGTTTTATTTAATGTTTCATTTTTTTACAAAACTGTAATTAACAGAAACCCAATCTTCGTTTTTTCTGTATAAATATTCATTATTTAAGGATCTTAATAATAATTTTAAATACACTGTTTAAATACACATTAACCTAATAGTAACTTCAAATACGCATTCAAAAAGTTCTGGGACTGCGTTTTTTCTGGGCGCACTAATAGCGCCATCTATTTTCCAATGATGAGACTAATTAGTAATATAAAGCTTTGTAAGTCTCCTATATTTTTTGCGTCGCCATCGAGTGAGCTGTTCATGTATGTACAGTGCATATTTCAAATTTGCAAGATTTACTGACTTTTATACTTCGACTCACTAATCGACTCTACATCCTCGAAACTGGTCCCTTTAAGGACTACTTTCAATTTTGGAAAGAGGAAAAAGTCCGCTGGGGCTACATCCAAGCGAGTTAAGTCGGGTGGTTAATAACTGATTTTTTGTGCCAAGAATATGTGATTTTTTATTTTTATTTTTTTTGTGTCATTCAAACACCTTACTACGACTTAAATAGACTTTCCCATATGTATTTTGCATAATTGCTTCCGATATTTGAAACGCTTTATAGCGCTTTTCCTATATTTAAAACAAAAACTTTATTGCGGCTCTTTGCTCCATGTCGAAATTCGTGATTAGCCAATAAATCTTACAAGTTTGAAATATGCACTGTATGTACATACCTATATATGATATGAATAGTTTACTCAGTGGCAACGCAAAAAATATGAAAGACTTACAAAGTTTTATACTAATTAGTCCCATCATTGAAATATAGATGGCACTATTATTGCGTACGGAAAAAATTTAGTCTCAGAACTTTTTGAATGTGTATTCTTCTGTTTCTTTTGTATTTAATATAAATAAATCAATAACAATAATCTTAATAATATAATAACATACAAATATTTCGGCTGATACTAATGCTCGAAAATTTTTTATGACCAGTATATAAATGATATTTCTTTACTTTGTAAATTGCGTTCACAATCTTTCCTAAATTCTATCGTTAATAATATTTTTTAATATTATAAATTAATAAGAAACAACTAATAAAAAACACTTACATGTTTAAAAACACACAATTAGAAACATGCAAAACATAGCACTGCAAATATACGTCTATTCATACAGGCTCTTTAAATACTAACAATACATATGAGATGTTGAGCGTGTCAAAACTTGTTCTTCGACAAAAATCAAGTATATCAAAATTTTTATTGTTTGGAATTTCTTTAAATACAGTAAAAATAAATATTTGAGATTTATCAGCTGTTATAATATTTTAACAAGGTACTATAATACTCAATGGGTACGAGTACCTAATGCTTTGATGAAAAGGTGAAAAATTACCCAGACAGCACACGGATATCCTATGGACACCCATATGATGTCCTTGAAGGACATTGAGGATATCCATAAGCTATTCGTTTTAGATCCTTCGGACATCCATTGGACGTCCATGGGATATCTGTTTATGAAATTGGTGGACGTCCATGGGATATCTGTTTATGAAATTAGTGGACATACTAAGAATCTCTGACGTGTCCATAGGATACAGAAAATAAAAAATAACGATTAAATAAA